AGTACTCATCCATCACACCGTTTTGTAACTGTGTCCTTAGCTCTCACTGAATGAAAAGTTCTGTGAAACAGGAAGGGTATTTTTCCTATTTAATGTTTTATACTCTATACCTGTACATACTATGTCTGGCAAGCATTAAAACACTTAGTTGAGAGAAAGTATGGAGAAATATGACAACCAGTCAGAGACAAACAGATCAAGTGTTCTGTTTTTAATTCTTAAGTAAGCAGAATGTGTTTTCAATAATCCTAATGGTTCTTACTCCAGTTCTTGGCACCATGTGTAGAAACTCCAAACAAAATTTCTATCTTTAAAGCAGTATAACTACATTATATGGACTATTTGAGATGAAAAAAAATCATTTATGAGCTCAGAGACAACTGGAATAGTTGAAATCTTTTTTTTCCCCCAAAAAAGGTAAATAAGTCTATCAAAATATACTGAGGACAACACACAATTCTGTGTAGTTCTCAGCAGACCAATGAATTGCATGATGTCATAAAGTCTACTAAGCAGAGCATTAGGTTTCCTAGCAAATTGTTTTGTCTGTTTTCTCTTATTTTTATGCTACCCAGGCTAGCCTCAAACTCACTATGTTGCCCAGGTTGACCTCAGACTTGCCATCCTTCTGCCTCCATCTCAAGAGTTTTAGGATGGGGGAGGTGCCGCACCACCACATCCAGCTTTTGTCTCTACTTTAATAACAAGAATAACTAAAAAAAATTTCTAACATATATGGATTCTATCTATGCTAATTCCACAGTTCCAAAGGAGGAAAGAGGTAAAAACTACAGAGTAAAACACAGTGTGGGCCAATTTTAAAGATAAAGATGAGGAAAGAAATCAAACAATAAAGCAAGCTCTCACTTCTATACCTGTTGTCAAAAAGAGCACACTAAAGCCTAGAGCCACAGATAGTGTTTGGGCATCTGGCCTCAAGCTTCTCTGTACTATGGGGTAGATTATTTGCCCTTAAGTCTCCATTTCATAGCTGTTTCCAAAGGATAAATTGAGTTATTCATGGCAACATTCTTAAAGCACCTTATAAGAACTCAAGGTCACATAATTTTCATATAACAAGCAAGAGATTTCTTTTGGTCAAGCTAACTTAAAGGAAGGTAAGCCTTGCACATCAATCTCTTTGGAATCCCAGTGCTAGAGACAACAATTGTAATTCCACAGAGGGCTGAGGGTGGTTTCAATTCTATGGCAGCTGAGCACTGAGCTGAGACGGACAGAAACACAAACTTTTAAAACCTTGTCAGACCTCCCTGAGGAGGAACTACTGACCTCAGATTCAGTCATTCTACACTAAACCTTGCTCTCTGTTGCCTATTTCCTACTGACAAAGTGTCTTTCCATGTAGAGACAAAAGTGTTACTCATGCTGAATATTTATGAATGTCAACAAAGTGAAAGAAAAAGAAATAACTGGAGGAAATGTTAAATGAAATTAGTCCATGCTAGTTAGTTAAGGACTAATTTCTAGTTGATGTGCCTAATTCTAAAGAGTAAACTCATCTCTGAAACCACTAAGTTTATACCTAGAGAATAATGTCCTGCGAGAGTGATGATGACCCCACAGAGGCTGAGGCATGTTGTGTTGCTATCATCACTGAGTTTGGGTTAGTGAGAGCACAGCAAATAAATCCATGCACATGGTCTTAGGGCCCTCTGAAGTTGACATCACAAAATCTTAGCATATCATCAGGTTTGTGAGAGGCAAAGAAAAAGAAGATGTAGCCAAACTGGAACAACACGGGAAAACTGTACTAGTGTTACTGTACATAGCAGCAGCAGCAGCAGTACTACTACTGGAATACTACTATATATAATTTTCTGAATATTGTTTCTTTATCCAAAACAAATTTTGTTCTGTTTTGCAAATGGCTTTATCCATTGTCAAAGAGGTAATTTTAAGAAAAGGAAAAGAGAAAAATGGAAATTAGTTGGTAAATAGAAATTGTATATGTAGAACACTACTTGTAGTGTTCTAAATCCTGCATTCCAGTCTTGATTGACAAAGACTGTGTTGAGGACTGCTTGGGCTAAATGAAAAGAAGACAGACAAGGCTAACCGTGGATGAGGGCTATGAGGCTACAGTAGTATGCATCTACCACCTGAGTGTCAGTCCAGCAGTCCTCACCCATGGGCATTTTTGCTCCTCACACCCTCCCCTACTGTCAAAGTTTAAAGATATTTTTAGTAACCTCAATTGAGGTAGAAGTGGAGGGAATTTGCTAATACTAGTGTCCTGGGATGATGCAAAACACATTATACCCCCAACTCCACCCCAAATAGAACATTATCTGGGCCAGAATATCAATAATTCTAAAAGTAGGAATGATGATCTAGTCATGTTTATCCTGTAGTTAGTACCTAATATTAAATTTGTCTTTAGGCAATTTTCCTGACCTACCTCTCCTGATGCCAGAGTAAATCTAAGTAATCTGACTGGAGTAGTAGAACTAGGGAGTAAGTTTGATGTATACAGTTAGTACCGATCCTAACTTTTACTGTGATCACAAATACAACTTACTTCATCCCATGAAGCTTTGAATTCTTTGGGTTTCTGTAAGAAGAGGGGATTGGACTAGATAAACTGTGCTCAGACAAAAAGCAAAAGTGCTAGGATATACTAAAGGAATAAAATCTCCTGTTATTAATAAAGCCCTTGCTATAGTCTCTTCAACAAAAGAAATTTCTTCGGGACAAGTTAACCTATTTTAATCAGCTAATGCAGAGTTACTAGATGTGCTTGAAACTAAAAGGCTTTTAATTTTCTTGTAATGCTTAACTACTTTGTATATCTTTGTCTTTGCATTATGTTAAGATGCTTTATCTTTAGCATCTCTCAAGGAACCACTTTGTGCATCCCATTACACTATCTGATTTTGACTTCTAATCTTCCAATTACAATATCTATATTCTGTTATCTTGTATCATTCAAACTATTAGGACCAATTATAAAGGCTCTTATAATTATACTTTTCTTTACCCTATAAATTTCCAGCATCAGTTTAACCAATTCCAACATCTCAGAGCCTTCCACATGCCCATAACACTAATACTGGGGGTAGGAATAGAAGCTGGTAGTGTTAGTGCAGGTTAGTTAAAAAGATGAAACACATAATGTGGTAAGAGAACAAGATATATTAAGTATAGTATGGAAACATCATTATGAGGGTAGGAAACAACAGAAATGTAAAACCAAATGTCCACACTACACAGATGAAGAATGATCCAAACACGATCAGGTTAAGAAAATAAATCCATCTGATTCAGATGCTCTTCTGGTATCCTGCCAATGGCTTCAAAGGTTGGTTCTATCTTTTCAAAATATGTTAAGTAGTTATGTAAAACATGGCTGCAGAAAAAAACTATTAAGAACCAATTAATATTCCTTCCATAGGGAATTACACAGAAAAACTGGAAGCTAATAATTTAAAATTATGTACTAATTCAAATCACACCTATCAAAATTGAGATTCCTTAAGACTCTAAGAGAGAGACATTTAAATAAGAACCTAAGGAGCAACAAACTGAATCATCCTGATAGTTGATCTAAGTCTCAGACAAGGAACTTTCTGAAACACAGTGAGTATATTTACTTTTAGAAACCAGTTTACAAAAACTGGAGTACTGACAAAACGTAAACGGCTCTCATGGCAAAAATATTTATATATTTCTCTAAATCCTAATATAATTATTTTTACCTATGGTGCCTTTTGTGATAATAAAGCTAATATGTCTACTGTCTAGCATTTGAGATACTATAAATGTACTATGTTCACTACAGTTGTCCAATGGCAAGTATATCAGGCTTCTGGCATCACCTGGTGAGATGGCATTTTTGCAAGTTAATTTTCCCTTCTACCAAATAATCTATGTTTAAAAGAGCACAAGATTTAAATGAGTACAAGATTTAAATGAGTAGCCGTGTCTCCCCATATAGCATTTTTTCCATAATCTTTTAAATATATTTTCACAAAGCTGTTCTTATTTAAAAACAAATTATGGCAAATAGAAGAGGATCAAGAAATGGAGAGAAAGAGGAGGAAGGAAAGCGGAAAGAGATACAAAAAGAATTAAGATGTGTTATGTACATGTACCAACTCCCTACAATGAATATTATCATTATGTACTGAAACTGTATACTAATAAAAATTAAAATTAAACAATAACAAATTATACTATAGTTCTCTGTAGCCTATTTCTGTAATTCTAAGCTCTCTAATGAGAGCTAAATAATGAGGGGCTCCATCAAACTTCGTCTTGCCTTCAAGCACACTAACTTCATCTATCACAAAGATCTCAATTTGGCTCAGTGCTTCAGAATGTCCATGAAGTTTAACATTCTCAGCTTTTAATTCAATATAATCTTAATGTAATGTAACATATAACACTCTGAAAACAAATGCTGAGCATGTAATACTGTTATTCAATTCATCATATTTCATTTTGGGGGGCATGGTGGCAAACAGGTAATAGGAAATGAACAGGCTGTAAATTGAAAGGATCTGTCAAGCAGTGTTTATATAGAAGTTATCAATTATTTTGTTACTATAAAATGATGTGAAAGTATAAGTGGCCTTTTTAAAATTCAGAGATAATTTTTAACAGCATCCTCAAGAGAGTCCTTTCATACTCAATCAAAATAACATCCTACCTCTATACACACTCTACTTCAATGAAGAGACAAAGATAAGAAAAAAGTACAGGAAAAAAACCCCACAACTCATATATCACACTTCCGTTAATAAGGATTACATATATTTATATTTTATAATTTTTTTAAAAGTCCCCAAATGACCAGACAAACAAATATTTATAAAAATTACCTATAAGCAAAATAAGAAACAGCAAAAGATTGTCCAGAATATTAATGGTAAATACTCTCTGGCAGGAATATTTGTAATAATGTCTTTTTAATTTATTAAAGAGAACACTCATATAGGTATTAGGTTATATACTTAATGATACCAATAGTAAAAACATACCTAATCTTATCTTCAATTTCTTCACTATCTGATTCTTCAGAGCTTCTGTGTTTATCTGGATCTGGAAGTGTGCTTGGATCAAATCCATCATCATCATCATCATCATCATCACTCCATTCGAGAAAGGCCTCCTCTTCATCTTTGGCCTAAAAAAAATAAGGAAAATATGAGTTAAGATGATAGCTGATGAATAATAAGGTTTTATTTCTAGACCTAATTAAATATCCCTCTAATTGACATCCTCACATTAGAAATTTTGTCTTCTGATAAGTGCATCTAAATGACTTTCACAACTACAACCATGTGCAAACAAAGAAAATCTGTATCGTTCCAAAAATAAGCTATGATTCAGAAAGTAAATCACTAATAAGCTGCTTAAACTACATAGAGGGAAACTGTCCATTTTATTATTTCCATGTAACTCAACTATCAAAGAAATAGCATACAAAGTTGTTTCAGTCCTGTTAATATATAAACATCTCAAAACCACCAAAAACATTAGGTGAAAACATCAAAGACCAGAAGTGAGAGTATAGTAAATTTGTCTGATTTTTATGATTATAATGAAAGTCTTAAAAAACAATTTGCAATAAGCTTATTTATATCAAGGAGTCTTCTAAATTTAGGGCTAAGTATAAAGTCACTAAGAACTGTGGGGAAGGGGAGGAGTAAAAAGAGATGGGAAAAGCAGTAATGCACAGAAGAGGAATGCAAGGAAGAAGCTGCATCCATCTGGTTTCAGGCAAGTATGGAAGTAGGTTATTTTTTGTTTCTGTGGGTTTTTCTTTTGGCGGGGGGTGGTTAATTCATTTTTGTCAAGGAACAAAATAAGGCAAGAATGAACTTACTATACATTTAACTTATTAATGTCACTTATACCAAATTTATTTCTAGTAGATTGGATTTGCCACCTACTAGATAAATAAGCACTGCTACATTCATTTAGGAGAAAATTGTGAGTAGGACAGAAATCCAAAAGTCTGGGTAAGTTTCTCCCAGTTTCCATCCTTACAATTCTCCATACCACGTGAAACAAACTTCAATGATGCTTTTATTCCAAATCACTAATGCTCTTTCCCAAAAACAGAATCATAACATGATAGTATAGTGATCAACTGTGTAGGCTACTATAGAAGTCCTCTAAGGATTTTCATCAGCTCTCCCTTGATAAGTTCAAACATAACAAAAGGAGAAAGAAGTATAGAAGGCAAGATTAGTTACTACTGCAAAAGTTCCTATTGCTTTCTTGACAAAGTTCCCCAACAAAAAATATGAAGGTCTGGAAACAATTATCAGCAGGTGGCAGAGGATGGGGAGTCAGGATGTATGCCATTAGAAGCAATAAGCTGCATACCTATAGCAAAGTACAAGCTTACTTGAAAATAATGATATCAATAAAAATTGAATGTCATTATATACTCAAAAACACTAATCTCTTGGGCTACAAGATACTTCCAATTTTGTAGGCTGCTGCTCTTAAAGGAATGTGCTATCTGAAGGCAGACACAGAACAAACTCAAAACAGTTCCCAAATTTATGGTTTCAAGACCCCTTTATACTTAAAAAGAATTCAGGGAGGACCCCTCGGCATGCCCACTGGCAAGGAGCTGAGGCGCACAGGCTGAGAGGTCCCTGGCCATCTGGGGCCCTGTTCTATCCAGTTCGCCAGGCCCATCTGTGACCAGCAAAATGGTAAGGAACCCCCCCCCCGCCCCGGGCACAACCACCAGCAAGCAGCTTAGGTGAATGGGCATCTGCAAACACCCCCCTGCCCCCTAACCGCCTGCCTCTGGCCTCCTGGCTGTGCCTCTACCTGGTATCACACTACAGAGGCACAGGAGGACATAAAGGCCATTCTCCTGAGCTGCAGAAGTGAACAACCGATAGAGGGCCTCTCTCAGGCTCCTTGAGGAAAACAAGCCCACTGGAAGAGTGAAGAGAATCTCTGCAATAAAGGCACACCAGACCACTGTACTTGATAAGTTGGAGGGATCATCACCTCCCATCAGAACCTGGACTATCTTCAGGGGAAGGGCAGCTGGAAACTGCAGTAGAACCTTGAAGAGTTCAACTCTGTGGGAGGACAGGGAACTCAGCTTGGGACTTGCAGCCAGAAATCTGCCTAAATCTCACGGGTCTGCAACTGGTTTGCTGAGACTCACTGACTTGTATCTGCACAGTGCTGCCACGTTGTCTACTGACAGCAGAGAGATACCCTCAAGGAGGCCCTTCATTTTTATCTTTCATTTGTTATTTTCAAAATTATTATCAGTATTATTTTGCTCTTATTTTTAATTCTTTTTTCTACCTTTTCAATTTTTTCCTTTCTTTTCTCTTTTCTTTCTCTCTCTCTCTCTCACTTGCTCACTTGCTGTCCCACATCATTCATCATCTCCCTCTGTGTTCCTTTTCTGGCCCTAATTCGGATTTCTTTTTTATTTTTCTTTTCTTCTCTTTTTCCTTCACTCGCCAGAATCCTCTGGCCTCACTGTTAACCTTCCTCTATCTTTCTACCTAATTATCCCTCACTCTCCAACTCCTTCTAACTCCCCATACTGAAGGGTGAAGTTGCTATATTGAAGAGTTTATTCACTATAAATATATGTTGGGTTGGTCCTTGATTTTGATTTAATTCACACAGTTAAAGGTGATAGATTAATAACTACCAAAAAATGTCATTTTCTGAGATGTACTTGATGCTATGGTGTTGCGGATTGTATCATTTGGGCTAACGTGTTGTGATTGATCTACTCAGTTGCCCTTCCTGGTATAATAAAAATGAGATACCTGAGAGCCATTAGAGACTCAAAACCTAAAGACCAACTATATCAGGAAGACACCTCTGAGAAGCAATCATTCCACAAGGGTTCTAACTACAAGCAACAAAGATACTCACAATAAGCAACTTCAAAGTATCAACCCAGGAATTAAACCAAGGACAATACCAAAAACAAAAATGAGAAGATACATAAGCAAGGCACAAATTCAGACTTCCACCCCACAAAAGGCAAATTCTAGGGGAAATGAGGTGGAAAAGCCTGATAATCAACCACCTGGACACCCTGAACTGATAGCACAGGAAGTAACAAAGCAGATGCATGAGGCTCTAGAAAAATTCAAAGCAGAAATAATCTCCCAGATAACTACTGAGATGGTGAGCAGAGAGAAAGACATGATTAGAGGCTCTAGAACAGAAACAGATGAAAAACAGATGACCTCAGAAACATGCTGGAAGCTGTGAATGCCCAGCATAAGAAAGAAATAGAAACCATGATCGCCCAACATAAGAAACAAATGGAATCCATGAAACAGATTCAAACAGATATCCAGGAAATTAAAAACTCCATTGAAAGTATCCACAGCATATTAAGGGAATCTGAAGACAGAATATTAGATATAGAAGACAGGATTGTGGTGAAGGACCATGAAAACAGTTATTTCTTAAAAGTAGTAAGGAACCACGAGAAATCATTTAGCAGCTGCTAGATCATGCAAAGAAGAATAACGTAAGACTGACAGGAGTCCACGAAGAAACAGGAGAAAGCACAATTGACATAAAAAAACTGTTCACAGAAGTAACAGTAGAAAACTTCCCACATAGGGGTAGAAAACTGGACATATAGATAAGTGAGGCATATAGAACTTCAACTAACCACAATAAAAAAAAAAGCTACACCTAGACAAATAATAGTCAAGATCCCAAAAACCTAACAGAAGAACAAAATCCTACGGGCAGTCAGAGAAAAGAAACAAATCACCTGAAAAGGAAAGCCCATCAGAATCACAGCAGACTTCTCAACACAAACCCTCAAGTCAAGGAGAGCCTGGAGTGAAGTATTTCAAGCCCTAAAAGAAAATAACTTCCAACCTAGGCTGTTGTATCCTGCAAACTTATCTTTCAAAATCAATGGGGAAATTAGATACTTCCATAACAAAGAACACCTGAGAAATTTCATGAGCACCAAATCAGCACTCCAAACAATTCTAAATAGTATCACAGAAAATGACAATGAAGGTCACAACTCCATGAGGCCCAACAGAGGGAAGCCACCAGGCAAGGTACGACACTAAAGGGAAAAGGGGAAAAAATAAAAAATAAAAGAGCCAACAACAGTAAAACATCATGACAAGGATGAGTCAATATCTATCAATTATAACCATCAATGTCAATGGCCTCAATTCACCAATCAAAAGAAATAGACTGGCACAATGGATTAAGAAGCAAAATCCAACCACCTGCTGTGTACAAGAAACACACCTAACTCTAAAAGAAATTCATAGGCTGAAAGTAAAAGGATGGAAAACAGTTCTCCATGGAACAGGAACCCAGAAAAAAGCAGGAGTAACAATCTTTTTTGCAGACAAAGTAGATTTCAAACAAAACTAATTAAGAGAGACAAAGATGGTCACTATATCTTCATAAAAGGAACAATCCAAGAGGAAGAGATGACAATCATAATATATATGCCCCAAATACAAATGCCCCCAACTATACAAAACAAATATTAATGGACATTAAAAACCAAATAAGCACTAATACAACTGTAGTGTTGGAATTCAATACCCCACTATCACAAATAGAGAGATCATCTGGACAAAAAATTAACAACAAATTTCTAGAACTGAACCAAGCTACTGAACAAATGGACTTAATAGATGTTGACAAAGTGTTCCACCCCACAAAATCATAATATACATTCTTTACGGCTACACATGGGTCATTCTCCAGAATAGACCACATGTTAGCTCACAGGACATGTCTAAGTAAATGTAAAAGAAATGAAGTTAACCCCTGTATATTATCAGACTATAGTGCAATAAAATTGGAGATCAATAACATAAGAAACTGCAAAACCTCCACAAACCATGGAAATTGAACAACCAATGGGTCAAAAAGGAAATTAAAGAAGAAATTAGACAGTTTCTACAAGTAAATGATAATGCCACTACAACATACAGGGATCTATGGGACACAATGAAAGGAGTTCTACCAGGGAAATTCATAGCAGTGAATGCCCATATTAGGAAAACAGAGAGAACTCAAATAACCTAATACTGAACCCCAAACTTCTAGAAAAAGAAGAGCATGACAATCCCAAAACTCATACAAGAGAGAAAATTATAAAGATCACAGCAGAAATCAATG